ATGAACTCACAGCAGCTGTGATTACCTGCACAAGCACTACACATGATTGGGTTGTCAACAGTCCCTCATGGAGGTGGGAGGGGCAGTTAACAGTTCCTTGAAGCTATGGCCTCTCAAGGCCCCACCTTTCTCTGAGGATCTAGAGGCAGTTCATGGTTCCTGGGAGAGGAAGAGACATTTTCTTTATTGGTGTAACTACTGGTAAGTTACCAATACTCCTGTAAATAACCTCACCCATACTCCTGTAAGCAATAGTAATTAAACTCATTGGGCCACAAAAAAACCAAAAACAAATGCATAGAAGTAGAAGGAAGACTACTTGAGAAGAGAAAGGGAATCAATGGAGGGAATGAGAAGGGGTAAGAGAGGGTAATGAAGAAAGGGCAGCAGTCAAAATACATTATATTCATGTGTGTGAAAATGTCATAATGGGGCTGGAGAGATGGCTCAGCAGTTAAGAGTACTGACTGCTCTTGCAGAGGAGCCGGGTTCAATTCCCAGCACCCACATAGCAGCTACAAACCATCCTTAACTCCAGTTCCAGGGGAATCCGAAACCCTCTTCTGACCTCTGCAGCACTGCATGACACAGGTGCACTTACTTACACACAGGCAATACACTCATACACATAAAATAAAAATAAATATTTAAAAAATTTCATAAACCCATTACTATGTACAATGTATGCTAATAAAAACAAAACGATGAAAGACATAGAATGCCACGTACTAAAGTTTATTTTCTATATACAGTATTTACTCAAAAAAGTCAAAATATGTATAAGTAAATATAGATATACTACAATATGGATATAAAAATAGAGCTTCTATCTGTCAAGTAATGAAGAATGGCCTCCACCAAACACATGCTTCTGCTGCTATGATGCTCTGCTTAGGCACACAAGGCCAAACAATCAGTAATTGAACACTCTAAAAGTGTGTACCTAATTAATTAATTTTTAAAAATCTTATTTTTAATTTTATGTGTATGAGTGTATTGCCTGCACGTATATAAGTTGCACCCATGTCGTGCAATGCCCAAGGAGGTCAAAAGAAGGCATGAGATCCCCTGGAACTGGGGTTACAGAAGGTCGTTAGCCATCATGTGGGTGCTGGGAGTGGAATGCAAGATCTCTGCAAGGGCAGTCAGTGCTCTTAACCACTGAGTCATCTCTACAGTCCCATTAATTAATTTTTTTAGATAGTAATTGGAGAAATTATATTCAGAACTGAACATGAACATCAAAGAAACATTTCTTACTTAGAGCAAAAACACAAATTAGGCAAGTGTTCTACCACTGGGCTATATTCCCAACCCATGATTTGCAATGACAATGCCAGATTATTTTTCACTGAAACAGACTTCATAGATTGTGTATTTCAGGGATTTTATTTTATTTTATTTTATTTTTTGAGATAGGGTCTTACTATATAGTCCCAAATGGTGTGGAACTCACAAAATAGACTACCCTAGGCTGACCTCAACCTCACAGAGATCCACCTGCCTCTGCCTCCAGAGTGCTGGGATTAAAGACATGCATTACCACACCTAGCTGGGGATTAATAACTTTTATCCATTAAAATAACCTGTAAAACAGTTTAGAATAAGTCATTATAAGTAAACTCGAAACCCACATGTTTTATGATACATCTAGTACAAATATTTTTATTTCTTTATTTTTCTTATTTTATGTGAATGTGTGTATTTCCTGCATGTAGGTAAGTGCACCCATGTCATGCAATGCCCGTGTAGGTCAGAAGAGGCTGTCAGATCCCCTGGGGCTGGAGTTATGGACAGTCGTTAGCTGCCAAGTACATACAAATATTTTAAAAGAACAATTTATAACACTTATCATCATTATTAGTAATTATTTATACCTTGAGAATTGATTTTCTTCAAGGATTTCAATGCCACTTTATGTATCTTTGAGCTAAAATGCACTCAAGACCACCCAATCTATCTATACTTGCAGACAAGTAAGTGAATTAAATGTCCTTTAAAAATCATAAAAATAGCCAGGTGTGGTGGCACACTTGGGAGGCAGATGCAGGTGGATTTCTTTGGAGCTACAGGGAGACCCTGTCTCAAGAAGACCAAAAAA